GCTCCAACTGCTCGGCCAATTGCACCTCCTGCACCTCCTCCACCAATTGCTCCGCCTGCACCGCCGGCCACCTGCTCCATGAAGGCGGCTGCCTGTCCAGCTGCCCGCCGAACTTCCACGACGCCGGCGGCGCCTGCTCCCCCTGCTCGGCCAACTGCACCACCTGCACGTCGGTGGCCAATTGCACCGCCTGCTCGACCGGGCACCACCTCCTCGATGGGGCCTGCGTGGACCAGTGCCCAAGTGGCACCTTCGATGCCGACACCGCCCCGGCCCAGTGCCTCGCCTGCCATCCCCTTTGCCAGGAGTGCGCCGGGCCCGGCTCCAGTGACTGCACCGCGTGCGACCCGCCGCTGGTCATTCGCCAGCCCATCCCCCCGGTGGAGCCGCCCCTGGCCGTGGGCCAATGCGTGCCGGACTGCCTCAATGACCCGTCCCAGTGCGCCGAATGCGAGGATGACTGTGTCCTCTGTCGCAAGGTCCCCGACGAGGAGGGCAGCTTCTGCCTGGAATGCCGCGACCCGCTGGTGTCGCTGGATGGCCGCTGTGTGGCGGCCTGCCCGCCGGGCCACGGCCTGCCCCCCGGGTCCGGCTATTGCACCCGGTGCTCCAGCTCCTGTGGGGATTCCTGCTTCGGCCCGGCCAGCAACCAATGCCAGTCCTGCCCGCCGGGCCGGTTCCTCCAGGCCGGCGAGTGCCGCGATGCCTGCTCCGCCGTCGGGTGGTTCCAGTCCTCGAGCACCGGCTGCAGCCGGTGCCATGCCAGCTGCTCCCAATGCACCGGGCCGGGCCCGGACCAGTGCGTGTCCTGCCCGCGCGGCAGCTACCGGCTCCCGGCCCCGGAGGGGGGCTTCGCCTGCATGGCCACCTGCCCGGCCGGGCACTTTGCCGACATCCCCCAGGCCGCCTGCCGGCCGTGTGCCGCCGATTGCGCCACATGCGACCACCCGCACGTGTGTCTCACCTGCCGGACGCCCGAGTGGCTGCTCCTGCCGCAGGGCGGCTGCGCGGCCGCCTGCCCGGCCGGCATGGCCCCCACCAGTGACGAGCCGCCGGCGTGTGTCGCCTGCGAGGCCGGCTGCGCCGAGTGCGAGGCCGCCCCCGGCCAGCCCGGGCCCCGGTGCCTGCGCTGCGACCCGGGGCTGGTGCTCCTCCAGACCGGCGTCTGTGCCGGGACCTGCCCGGCCCGGCAGTTCGACGACGCCGGCGCCTGCGCCCCCTGCCAGCCGGAGTGTGCCGGCTGCCGCCATGCCGCCGGCCATTGCACCGCCTGCTCGGCCCCCGGGGCCCGGCTTCGCCCGGATGCCGGCCAGTGCGTCGACACCTGCCCCCCGGGCGAGGCGCCCCCGGCCAATGACGCCACCCTCTGCCGGGCCTGCCATGCCCACTGCGCCGGCTGCCTGACCGCCGACGATGCGCACGCCTGCGACGCATGCCCCCCCGGCCGGTACCTTGCCCAGGGCGCCTGCCTGGAAGCCTGCCCCGATGGGACCTACCCCGAGGAGGGCCTTTGCCTGGCCTGCGACTCGAGCTGCGCTCGCTGCTCCGGCCCCGGGCCCGGCAGCTGCCTGGCCTGCAGGCTCCCCGACCGGGTCCTGCTGACCGGGCGCTGTGTGGCCCGGTGCCCGGATGCCGGCTACTGGCTGGACACGGCCCAGGCCAAGTGCCGACCCTGCGTCAGCGGCTGCATGACCTGCAACCGGGCCGCCTGCACCGTCTGCCAGGCCGGCCTGGCCCTGGTCACCGGCCCGCAGCCGGCCTGCGTGGCCGTCTGTCCGGGCGGCTTCTTCGAAGATGTCACCTCTCCGGCGCCCGACGCCCGGGTCTGTCTCCCCTGTGCCGAGGGCTGCCACACATGCACCGGCCCGGCCGGCAGCCACTGCCAGGCCACCTGGTGCCAGTTCGAGGGGACATGCTCGCGTTCGGGTACGTGCCTCCCCCGCTCGCGCCCCTCCTGACACGCGGGCAGCCTTCGTGCGCCCTGGCCTTCGGCCCCGGGGCGCCCCCGGCCCTCGTAGTTACTCACCTCCACCATCCGCCCCCCCCCCCGCTCTCGCCCCCCCGTCGGCTCTCGCTCCGGGACACGATGCCCCGACAGCCCGGTCCGTGGCCATCGGCGTCGGCGTCGGCGTGACGGTGCTGCTGCTGCTGCTGCTGGCCGCCGCGCTGGTGCTCTTCAGCATGTGGCGCCAGCGCCAAGCTGCCGGCCTCGCCAAGACCGACATCAATGATGTGCGTCGCTTTCCCGGTTGGGGGGGGAGAGAGAGAGAGACGAACATGCCCAAAGCACCACCCGTGGCCCTAACTGACCCTTCCGCCCGGCTAACCTCCCAACCGGCCCAGGATGACGACCGGACCGTCATGAACACCCTAGTCGGTGCGTGCCGACGCCCAGAAACAGCCACCCAGCATGGCCCACGCCCCATGGGGCCCTCCCTGCGGTGGCCGGTCACTAACGTCTTTGCTTTGTGCGGCGCATGCGCCCTGGCAGACCTCGCGGTGCCGGGGTTCTTGCTCTTTTCCCTCAATGAGGACGTCCGCCTGGCTGACGACCAGCAGGTCGGAGCCGGGGCACAGGCGCGCATCCTCGACGCCACGGCCGTCACGCCGGCCCTCGCGGACAGGGCTCGGGGCGCGCCCCTTGTCTTGAAGATGCTCCACCGTACGCGACTCGACACTGGCCGGATCCGCTCCCGGGCCCCCTCCTGACCTGCCCTGCCGTCACTGACCCGCCGACCGCCGGGCTCCTAGCCGCCGGCACGCCGGGCGCCCTGCCGGCTGAGCATGCCGAGATCATGTTCCGCAACGAGCTTTCCATCATCTGGTGCGTTGTCCGCCTTGTCCGCTTGGCGCGCCTGCCAACCCCCGCCCCCCTGCTCACCCCGCCCGGCCCAACCCACCACGCACATGCACATGCACATGCACATGCACATGCACATGCACATGCACATGCACATGCACATCCATGCACGAACACGCACATCCACGCACATCCATGCGTACACACACACACACACACACACACACACACACACACCTCCAGGGCCCTGCAGGCCTCGCCCAACATCGTCCGGCTGATTGGATATACCAGTGCCCCGTCGGCGCTGATTCTCGGCCGCGAGCCGACCGACCTGAATAGCTTGCTGGACCGCGGCGAGCCGGTGGCCTTGGAGGACGCTCGCGCACTGCTACGCGGCATGTGTACGTCGCACGCTCGCTCCCCGGCCTCCTCGACCCCGGGGGACAGGATGGCCCCCCAAAATGCGCCCGCTTGCCACCCTCGCCCTGTCCCCCCCGCTCCCCCCCCCCCCCTCCCCCCTGCCCGGCTGACCACCCAATCCGCGGCCCCCAGTCGCCGGGCTGGCTTTCATCCATGCCGAGGGCGTGGCCCATCGCGACATCAAGTCCCAGAACATCCTGGTCGGGGTGTCCACCGAGACCGGGCGCATGCGGCCCCTGTTCACGGATTTCGGCGTGTCGGTCGCCGTGTCCCGCGGGTCGGCCCTCCTGGACTCGGTCCTGCCCGGCGCATGCAGTGTGTTCTTCGCCGCGCCGGAGGTGCGTGCCCCGCCCCTCGCCCTGCGCCCCTCGCCCTGCGCCCCTGACCCTTGCCCATGCGCTGCCCCCTGCAGATTCTTAGCAACCTCGGCCAGACGGTGGTCAACCTGCAGGCCGTCAGCCACCTGGCGGCCGATGTCTACTCCTTGGCCTCGGTGGCGTGGCACCTGCTGACGCACCAGCACCCATGGAACGGTGCGCCGACCCTCGTCCCCCCTCCGGGCGCCCACCTCCAGCGAGCTGCCTCCCCCTAACACCATGCCTCCCTCTCCCCCCCCCCCCCCCCTCCCCGTCCAGGCCTCGCCCACGCCGCCGTGGCGGCCGCGGTCTTGCACCACCAGCAGCGGCCGGATTCCCATGGCCCCCAGCCGGTTCTGGACCTCGACGACCCACTGATCGCCTGGGCCCTGGACATGCTGCCCTCGATGTGGCATTCGGACCCGGCGCAGCGCCCCCAGGCGGCCAGCCTGGCGGCCGCGTGCCAGGCCGCGCCCTGACACGCACACACCCACCCCGGGATGTGCCTAGCCTCAACAAATACACCCTGCAACTACTGCCCTTCGCAGACCCATGGGGCAGGGGGGGGGGGGGAGGCCCAGGTGGGGCGCTGCTTGCTCCTCGCCAGTTGGTCGTCTGGCCGGGGCGCGTGCGAGGCGGGGAAAGAGGAGCCCCCGGCAAAAAGCAAGTCTGGCCCCAGCCAGGATCGAACTGACGACCTTCGCGTTATTAGCACGACGCTCTAACCAACTGAGCTATGGGGCCATGGACTCGGGTACGCCCCGGGGGCTCTTTTGCTGCCGCCCTGCTCCGGACGGCCCTGCACCGAGGGACACCCACGGCGGCCAGGGAGCCGGGCCGCTCGAGCTTCGCCCCAGCACCGGCCCCGGCGCCGGTCGCAGCAATCCCCCCACCAGCCCCCCGCTCCGGAGGGCGAGCCCGGCACGCGCATGCCCGCTGACATTGCCCCGCCAGCCCCGGAGAGCAAACGACGGGGAAAGGTCCCGGCAAAAGGCCGTGGCCGGCGCAAAGGGCCGTCCCGCCACGGGAGAGACCCTCACGACGCCACGAACCCCATCGGGAGAGGAATCGCAGCAAGGCCCGGGGCCGTGGAGGGAGGGGGGGGCCTGCAACACGGGAGGCGGGAGTCCGGCCCACCTCTTGCCAGAGGCCCACGCCCCCCGGCCCTCTGCGTCACCCGGCCACACGGCCATGGTGTGCTCCTTCACCCGAGACAGGTCCTTCGAGGGCCCGGCGCGCGGCCGGCTCGGAGAAGCGGCCGATCGGCCAGCATGCGAAGCCCACCTGGCCACACACACAGGTACACAAGTGCACAGGGACACGGGTGCACAGGTACACAAGTACACAGGTGCACAGGTGCATAGGTGCACAGGTGCACAGGTGCACAGGTGCACAGGTGCACAGGGATACGGGTGCACAAATACACAGGTACGCAGGGATACGGGTGCACAAATACACAGGTACACAGGGATACGGGTGCACAAATACACAGGTACATAAGTACACAAGTATACAGGAACACAATTACACGGGTATACAGGTATACACACACATAAACACAAACACACATTAACATGCACACATTAACATGCATACACACACACATACATACATACACAAAAGCAGACTCATGCACACCCCACTTGGTTGCGGCCCCTGCACCGACCAACGCCACGACGATGAGCCCCCCCCCCCCCCCCCCCCCCCCCCCCCCCCCCCCCCCCCCCCCCCCCCCCCCACACCTATGCGAACCATCCCCTTGCGTCCCTCCTCCTCGCAGGCCCATGTTTCCGCTTTGAGGCCGCGAGGGACAACTCACAAACAGATGTGGTCCCGATCGCGCGCGCGCGGGCACCCGGAATGTACTGCCATCTGTAAAAGGGGGGAACCCCCCCCCCCCCCCCCGCCAGCTCCCAGGCCACAGACAACCTCTCGGCCAGGTGCATTTCAAAGGAATCCAGCCACCGGGCCCACGAACGTCAGTATTTGGACCATCCCACATTTGAGGAGGATGACTGCTCGGCCGAGTACGGCGGCGGGGGCTCGGCCGCGGCAAAGTCCAGCGGCGCCCCGTCGCAGGCCCAGCTTTGCCCCGTCGCGCCATACGCCGGCATGCCAGGCGACCCCGGCCGGGATGTCGCCAAACCCGCCGGCAGCCCTCCCAGCAGAGGATCATGCGCCACATCGGGCCACCCATCGGCCGGAGCCGGCGACAAGTCCGCCGACCGGCCGGCATGCCCGTATGCCGCACCGCCGGCCGGAGGGCACCCCGGAGTCGGGGCAGCACCGGCGCCCCCGTCATCCGGCGACACCTGCTGCCAGGCCGGCCCACCGGCCAGTCGCCGCCTCTGGGCCACCTTCACATGCAACACCGTCCAGCAGATGACCGCAAGCAGGGCCCCCAGCCCGGCTGGCAGGCCGATGCTCAAGCCAAGCATGACATCCAGCTCGCCCGGGCGCCGGGAGTACCCCAGCCGCACGTCATAATACCGCAGCGCGCTCTTGGTGTGGACGATGACCGACGCCATGCCAGCATGGCCGGCCGGCACGGCCGTCTCCTGGCCCAGGGCCATTCGCCGGCTCGGCGACAGGCGGTATGCCGGCACCTCCGGCGACAGCTGCATGAACAGCGGCACCGTGGGGCAGGCCCCATGCGAGCTGTTGAAGACCACGAAAAAGTAGGAATCCGTCTCGTACGACAGCAGGGTGTGTGTGATCGGATGCCCGGCGAAGAGCGTAGCCTGGAACACCACCGGCGCCCATTCCCCGTACCGCCACTGGTCATAATTGTACCACCCCTGGATGATGAGGTAGGTCAGTGGACAGGGCACATTCCCGGACAGAACCGACGCGACCTGGCCCCCGGCCGGCAGGTGGAGCTCGAACGCGCGATAATACTGCGCCGACGGGCTGTGCAGCTCGGACACCATGTCGGTGGTCAGCATGCTGACGCGCCCCGGGGGGCCCTCCTCGGCCGGGGTGAAGTACATCTCGGCCTCGGCCCCGGACAGGTGGGTGACCCCGTCGAAGAACCGGGGGTTGACCTCGATCTTGAAGGTCCCCCCCGGCGACAGGGACCACGATTTGGACGTGTACAGCGGCAGGAAGAGCACACAGGACAGGGCCGCCACAATGGACAGGATGAGCCCCCACCAGCAGGCCGCGATCCCGAGGACCCTGAGCTTGAGCAGCGATCGGGGCAGGGAGCTGTGTCCCGCCGCGGAAAACCCCCGCCAAGGGCCGCGAGCGCCCGACAGGGATTGCCCAAGAAGTAGGAGAGTCGGTCAGCGGGCGGTCAAGGCGGGGCAGGGGGAGAGAGAGAGAGAGAGAGAGAGAGGGAGGGAGGGAGGGAGGGAGGATGAACCCCGGGGGGGGGGGACACCACAGGGAAAAAAAACCACCCCCACACCAAGGACCCACCTGTTCCAGGACACCACCATACAGTAGAAGGCATTCGGCAGGGTCACATCGAGGCAGGTGCACCGGCAGTCGCTGGAGGAGGACTCGTACGCCCCATCCGACGTGTGATAGTAGCCGGACGTGTCGGAGCAGGAGTCCGAGCCGCCGTACACGCCGCTGCTCATGCCGCCGCCATCATCGCCGCCGGATCGATCTCCGCCCAGCATGCTTCGTAGTGGGAGACGATCGGGGAGGTCCGAGAGCCGGAGCGAGGGCGAGAGCGGTGTGAAGAGGAGGGGGAGGTGGAGAGGGAGGCGTGGGGAGGCGTGGAGGGGAGGAGGGGAGGGGGGAGGGGCGTGGGGGGGAGGTCGTTGCCGGACGTGCCACCGACCGGGGTCGCCCCCGCCGACCAGGGGGCTTTTATGCCCTCTGTGTGGGTGTGTGTCCGCCACCGCGGCCGTCCGGGCGCCGCTCCTCGCCCTCGGACCGCCCTCGGAGCCGGGCCATCCAAAGGGGCAGCCAATGCCCCCGAGTTGGATCTTGCCGATCTGCGCCGCCCCCCCCGGCGGGAGGGACCCAGGACGCCGCCTGACCCCACTGGGCAACCGCCGGCCGCGGCGGAAAGCACCCCCCCCCCGCTTGAGACTCAGCCGGGGCCGGCCGCGGCGCCTGCCCGATACGCCTCGCTGGGGGCCGCTGCTTCGTGGGCAGCTGCCTGGACGCGTCCCGCCTCGGCCTCGCGCTCTGGTCGTGTGCTCCAGCCCGAGGGGGGGGAGAGGGCCTCTCCGCCCCAGGGCCCCCCGCGTCCCCCTTTTCCCGCCGCCCTTCGGGCGCGCTCTGCGGCCCCTCCTCCGACGGCACCGGCGGGCGGCGTGCATCCCCCCCCCGGCCTCTCCTCGGCGCGGTGCTCTCGGCTCTTCGCCCAGGGGGCACCTGGGAAAACCCGCCCCAGCGACAAAAGAGAAATGGCCCCAGCCAGGATCGAACTGACGACCTTCGCGTTATTAGCACGACGCTCTAACCAACTGAGCTATGGGGCCCGGTCACTACGCCCTCCGCCGTCTGCCGTCCATCTAGACGTTCGGCACCGGGGCACCCGGCCTTCGGGCTCCCACCCCCGAGCAGGCCAGTGTGCCCGGCGCGCGTCTCGCCCCCAGAAGGAGCCACACCCGAGGCATCCTCCTCCTGAGAGACCCCTCCCGGTGAGCGGCGGCCCTCCCGCTTCCCGCGAGAAGGAGACCTCCCGCGCCGGGGGGGGGGGGGGGGGGGGCAGCCCAGGCCCACATCCAGGGAACATAAGGTCGGGCAGCGTCCCGCTGTTTCTGCTCCTTCTGCTGTTCTTGCCACGCTTTTGGCCGAGACCGGACAGCCCCCCCTCGCCCAAGCAAGGCACCAAGGGAAGACCCCCAGGCAGGCACCGTACAAGAGGGCTCATCCGTTCTCGACGATCGGCCGGCCCACTGGAGCCATGTGCCCGGCGCGCGCGACCGCCTGCCGCCCGGGGATCCCCGGGCGCCATTCGCACGCCGGCAGTCCCCGGCGTTGCCCCGCGCCGGACATCGGGCCCGGCTCATTCTGGTAGCCGCGCACACACACACACACACACACACACACACACACACACACACACACGCGCACACACACACGCCCGCGCGCCCCGCCGCCTACTGGGAGCGAGAAAAAAGGGCAGCAGCCCGGTCGAAATGCAAACCGGCGGAGGGAGCCAAAAGAGAAGGCTTGCGTCGACCGGGAATCGAACCCGGGTCTACCGCGTGGCAGGCGGCAATTCTACCACTAAACCATCGACGCCGAAGCCTGAAGACCGCCAGGTCCAAGGGGTATTTGTCAGTGAGGAATGCTCGAACACTGGGTGCCTGGGCTGGCAGATCCCACTGATGACACGCGGCTACACGCGCCGGCGTGCGGCCCCCCCCCGGGCAACGGAGTTGCCCCCGAGCACACGACGCGCCGCACAATGCACATGCACAGAGCCCCATCGTCCGCGGACAAGGGCCGAGGGGCCACCCTCCGCGCCCCATTCGGACTCCCGTCACACAGGACCCCCCAGCCACAACCACAGCCCGAGAGAGCCCAGGGGCCCACAGGCAGCAAGGCGCCAACCATCCCCTGCAGGAAAATCGCGGCTGAAAGGGCGCGCCGGGGCACGATCCCCCCCCACCCCCCAGAGGAGGAGGGGCCGCCGGCAAAGGGGGAGGGGGGGCTTTCTCCAGCTGGAGCCGGCTCCGGCGGCGCTCGGCCCGAGGGCCGGCAGTCCGACACCGGCGACCACAAGGGCCCGCCCTCCACTCCTCGGGTGCATCGACGACGAGTACACGCTCCCACCCCTCGCACGCACAAGACAAAAAGGGAGTTCCCATACCGGGACTCGAACCCGGGTCTCGTGGGTGAGAGCCACGTATCCTAACCACCTAGACTATATGGGATGCCCACGAAAGGGCCATGAGTCGGCAGCTGACATTCCCCCGCACTGGGCATCCCACACGCACTGGGCCGCGCCTGGCACATCGCCCAGCCCCGAAGTGGGGGGGGCGCGGGGGCCTGAGAGGGCGCCACAGGCCAGATCCCGGGGGGGGGGGGGGGAACAGCCCGCCAGCTCAAACAGCAGGAGCTGACCCGGCCGATGGCGGCCGCGCGGCACACGCCACTTGCCGGAGATCCCGCCACAAAAAGGGGCCCAGGTGCCGGCCAGCCCGCGACCGGGGAACCGAGTCCCGGCATATATGCAGCTCCGCCCGGCCGCGGCCCGGGGCAACTCTTTCAGTCCACCGGGGGGCCACTCGCCGCACCGCCGGCGCCGGCCTCCAGGACAAGAACGCACCGCCGGCGGCGCGCGGCGCAGCCACCTCCCGAGGGCCGTCCAAGCGGCGGACACCACCCTCCAGGCGGCCCGCCCGCGCACTTGCGCAGCCCCGGGCGCGTGGTTCCCCCCCCCCCCAGAAAGGGAAGACGCCGCACAAGCCAGTCGGCCGGCCCCGACACGCGCTCCGTCGGCCCAGCCACACTTCCCCCCCGGCTCGAAGGGCGTCCACCCGGCAACCACACCGAGCTGCGCCCCGATCAGGCGCAAACGCCGCGCACTCGACCCCCGCGCCCGCTCCACCGGCCGAGAAGGGCGGCGCCGCCTCCCGGGAGCAGTGCCGGGCCCGCAGACGGCCCCACGGCGCAGGGAAAAGGAACATGCACGCTCTGCCCCGCCGCCGGGCTTCCCCGGTTCCGGAGACACACCCGTGCGGACACGCAAATGGTCTGCTTCTCTCACTCTCTCTCTCTCTCTCTCTCTCTCGGTGCTCTCTTCTCACACCCGCGGAAGTGCCACGCGGCCGCCTCCAAAAGCAGACACCCTTGCCGGCGCAAAAGTGAAGATGCATCACCGGCAGGATTTGAACCTACGCGGGCAGAGCCCATCCGATTTCTAATCGGACTCCTTAACCACTCGGACACGGTGATCTGACAAACGCCCGACGCGGGGATGCTTTTGTCGAGCCGCATTATGGCCCCGGGCCGGAGGTCTCCCGCACCCGGGCTGGCGACACAAAAAAACATGGCTGGCAAAAGGAAATGGGGACTAGAGGGATCGAACCACTGACCGCTCGATCTGGAGTCGAGTGCTCTACCACTGAGCTAAGCCCCCTTTCTTGAGGAGCCCGGCTCCACCACGGGAATATGTGCCTTTTCCCTGCCTCGCTTGCAGGGCACAGGCGCTCACCCTTCATCCGGGGGAGGGGGCAGAGTGCGAGGCGACCTGAAGCAGGCACACCCGGTGAACTCCACACAGAAACAGAGAGAGAGAGAGAGAGAGACACATATGAACACATACGCACACATGAACACGCATGGACACACATAGACACATACAGACACTCGCGCGCACACGGGGCTGCACGCCCACACAAGCGCGCGTCAGCACCTCGTGCCGGAAAATCCCGCGGCTTCTTTCCTCCTCCCTGCCCCAGCACTTGGCACCCTGAGTGACTCCCCGTTGCCACAAGTCGCCCCACGAGTCGCCGCAGGGCCCTTCCAATTGAGCCCCGGCCCCATGCGGCTCTCGGGTCCGTGCGCAGTCGCGGCGGATCAAACACACACACGCACACACTTCTTCTCGCCCCTCCCCCGGAGGAGAGCCCTCCTCGCCCTAGAGGAACCCTGGTGCGGCGACCGGCGACGCGTCCCTCCCCGGCCACCAGCAGGGCTCCCCCCCCCCCTTGAGTCGGATACTGTCGCCGGCCGTCGGTCAAACAGCAACACCCACACCCCCGACCTCCACATGGACACGGGGCCCCCCGTCGCCTCACAGCCCCACCAGAGGGAGAGGGGGGGGGGGTGCAAGCAAGGCAGAGGGAGAGCGAGGGCATCCCACATCTCCCCGCCGTACACCACTGCCCCAGCATGACCAGCCACACCAACGGCACCGCGCACACGCGCCATCCCCACTTGGAAGGCGCGCGCGCGCACACACACGCGCAAGAAACACAATCCACCGTCAGTACAGGTGCCACTCGCGCTTCAGTACTTGGACCAGTCGCCACCCGAGGAAGGCGGCGGCTCTGGCGAGTACGGCGGCGGCGGGTCGTCCATTTGCTGCCCCAGGGACAGATCGCCGGCTGCCCAGCCGGCCGGCATCGTCCCCGCCGGGGGCACGCCATGCCCCGGGCCGGGCGGATCCTCCCCGGCCGGGCGGTCGGGCGCCGCGCCATGGGCCTCGCCGTGGGATTCCCACGAAAAGACCCCGATCGGCGAGTCAGGCGACTCCATGTCCTGCTCGTCCGGCGCGCCGGGCGCCCCGCCGGCCGGATGCATCTTCGCCTGCGCCGCCGGACCCACCGGCGAGGGGGAGCCCTGCTGCGTGGACACCGGGTACAGGCCCTCCAGGTAGCCGATCCCCAGCACGGCACCCAGCTCGTGGTCGCCCGGGTTCTGCCGGCGTCGCGAGACCCGGCTCCGGTGGGCCCTCACCCAGTGCACCACCAGGCCGACCACCACAATGACAGCCGTCAGCCCCAGCGGCAGGCCGATGGCCAGGCCGAGCAACAAATCCAAAGCCCCCGGACGCCGGGAGTAGGCCACCTGCGCATTGTAATACCTCACCTCGGCCATGCTCCGGACGATGATCGACGCCAGGCCCGGCTGCTCGTCCGACACCGGGACCAGCTGGCCGAGGGCCATCTGCCGGCTCGGAGACAGCCGGTACGCCGGCAAATCCGCCGACAGCTGCATGAAGACCGGCGCCCGGGGGCAGGACCCCATCGAGTCATTGAACACCACGAAGAAGTAGTACCCCGACCGGGTGGCCGTCAGCGTGTGCACCAGCGGCTTCCCCGGCTCCAAGGTGCCCTCATACTCGTAGGAGATCCACTCGCCCTCCTGCCAGTCCTCGAAGTTGTAGGTCCCCTGGATGATGAGGTAGTCCAGCGGGCAGGACGCCTCGCTGGACAAAATCGAAACAACCTGCCCGCCGGCCGGCACGTGGACCTCCACCGCGCGGTAGTACAGGGCCAGGGGGCTCTGCAGTTCGGTGGCCATGTCCCCGGTCAGTGTGCTGACGCGCGTGGGCGACCCCTCGGCCGCCGGCGTGAAGTACATCTCGACATCCGGGCCGGACCGGTGCGTCACCCCGTTGTAAAACCGGGGGTTCACTTCGATTTTGAATGTCCCCGCCGGCGGGAGGGACCACGATCGCGACGTGTACAGCGGCAGGGCAATGACACACCCCAGAACCGCCACAAACGACAGCAGCAAGCCCCACCAGCAGCCGGAGATGGAGACCACCAGCGGCACCAGCGCCGATCGGGGCAGGGTCCTGTCGGCGTGCGTGCATGTGTGTCCGCCGGTGTATGTGTGTGTGTGTGTGTGCGTGGCAGAAGCGTGCGTTGAGCCGAGCGAGGGCCATGCGCCCGGGTGCATGGCACGCACCCGGGCAGGAACGCCCCGACAGGTGAAAGAGCCCTCGGTCAGTGGCGGGCCAGCGGTGCCGGGGGAAAGGAAAAGGGAGGTGCGGGGTGTTCCCAAACCCACCCGCCCGCGCACAGGAGATATGCAGGAACACATATGTACACATATGTACACAGGAAGACAGATGTACACATATGCACACAGATGCACACGGATGCACACAGATGCACACAGATGCACACAGATGCACACAGATGCACACAAACACAGCCAAAAGACACCCTCGACACCGGGTCATACGTACGACGATCTTCGCACCAGGCAACAGTACGCAGCGCTGACCGGGGAAACCGCGCAGCAGGAGCAACTGGCACTGCTACTGCTCCCGGAGTAGTTGGTGCCACCGGAGTCAAAGTGATGGGACGAGGACCCGGAATACGAGTTCGACTCGAAGCGCGCCCCGCTGATCATGCCATCATCGCCACCAGATCGACCTCCACCACGCATGGTCGAGGGGAGACAGGGGAAATGGAAAGGAGAAGACAGAGACCCAGGAAGGCAGGGGAAGGCGGGGGAAAGGGGAAAAACAGGCACACGAGGAGAGAAGAAGGCGAGGCTGTTGCACAGATGGCCAAGCCGCTTCACGGACCATAGTCCTGCCTTTTTTTTTTCTACTTCCCCCCAATCTTCCTCCCCCCTTTTTTTCACCCCGGACAGATTTCGGCCCGGCCCGCCGGCGAAGCCCCCGGAGCAGCGTTGTCGGTGTGGGGTGTTCGCGCGCGCCCCGGGCATGGCGCGCGGGGCCGCATGCCCGAGCCCGGCAGCCGCCAAGCACCCCCGGCTCCCCGGTCCATTTCCTGCGGCCCAACACCAAGGCAACACATACACAGACACACACGCATCCTCCGGCCCCCGGCACGCCCCGCGCCTCCGTCCGAAGTTGGCATGCCCATCTTGCGGTGTAGCCGCCGCCGCCGGGGCCGGCCCCCGACTGGGCAACCGCCAAAGTGCGCGGCGACCGAGACCTTCCTTCGGCGACTCTCACAGGGTGTGACTCGCGCCCGCCGCGCCCGCCGCGCCCCCTGCGCCCAGCCCCCCGATGGGAACGCCCACGCCCCGTCGGATGGAGCCGATATTTGAGATGCCCACGTCACGGGTGAGTCTGGAGCCCACGGGATCAGAGGCCGGTATGACATTCCAGTGCACAGGAATGCGTCATCCATCGGCAGGGGCTCCCGTTGGTGGCCGCCGCCAAGCCTCCGGAACAGGCCCCCGAGCACGTCGCCCGTGCGGCATGTCCTCGATGGCGGCACGCGACCTCCCTCCCGCCCCATCCGTTAGCCGCCTCCGGGCCCAGCAAACACCGGGGCTCCCCCGAGCACTCCTCCTGAAACAAGGGCCTCGGCCATGCCGCCCTGGGAGATCGACAGTCCCCGCGACATGCGGCCTTTTCTTCCTGCCCCCTCGCCCCTCTCCCCCGGCCCGAGGGCGCTGCCAGCCAGATGTGCCCCCCTCGTCCCTCCCTTCCGTGGGAAGTGCCCGTGCGTCCCGAAAACCGACGTGCACTTGCTGATCCCCGCGGCCTCCTCATCTCGAGCGAGGCCCATGGCAAGGAGTGTCTCGACCGGCCTGCAGCGGGACCGGAGCGCCCGTGAAACCCGTCGCCCGCCCGCGATCCAGGTGTCCGCCCATTGCCCCGCAGCGCCACGGGGCCCATGTAGGCGCAACGCGCGCCCATGCTGATCCCCAGCCACACAGGGGCATCGCCGCTGCACTGCCGCCACCAGACCGTCTCTGCCGCCGAGGTGTCCCTTGGTGCCAAGCAGGCCATGGCCAACGTGCGGCCCGGCAGCACGCCAAGCCGATGGATCCGACGCGCCTGCCAAACCCCCGCCGACAGCCAAGCCATCCACCGGGGCGCCTTCCTGCCCCGGGCGGCCAGGCAGCATGCCCCACTCGACCGCGGCCGACGGCAGGGGGTGGCACCAGCCCCCGAGGGCGAAGGGGGCTCACGGGGCGCGCACACCGGGCGTCGCTTTGGCTCCCGCCCACCCTCGTGCCTTGGCCTAACGTGCGCCCGACACACCTACACGCCAGCAGCCTCTCCCGGCGCACAGCAGTCCCCGCTTCGGGTGCACCAGGGGCTCGGACGCCCGACGCGCACCGTCGGCCGTCGGTCCCCGTGCCCCCTGTCGGCCCTCGGGCCTGGCAGGGAAGGACCGCTGCCGAGTCAACACCCAAGGACAGGCAAGTCGGCCGAGCCGCTGGCCAAGCGTCACCCGAAGGGTCCGCCGCGCCAAGGGCCCTTGATGGCGCGGCATTCGGGAAGAGCTCGCCCGGGCGCGGGGGAAAGTGGTGCAAACCGAGGGAACCATGCAGACACAACGCGGACTTGGCACATTCTCCAGCCCGCGCGGCCAGCTGGTCGCCATCGCCGGCGCACCTGCTCCACCTTCCGATACACGGCCCGGACCCCCGGGCCAACGGACGCAGCACCCATCGAAAGGCCCGCCCTCGGGTCGGTGCACGGCAGAAAATGTGACCGCCGGCACCGGGCGCACCACGCGGGGGCCCAGCCGGCGGACCGGCTTGCCATGCCAACACCGACACCGGAGCTGAAGAGACCGAGAAAGTCCCCACACCGGCCTCCTCGCGCGGCGCACGACAGGGGCCCAGCCCAACCGCCGGGACAAGGAACACCCCCGGACCCGGGCCCCCTGGGCATGGGGCACACAACTGCCGGCACCTCTAGAAATATGCCCATGGCCAGTGGCACAGCGAGTGAGCCGGCACGGCTCGCCAAGTCGCGGCCGAAACAGACACCCAAGACCGAGGCCGGGCAGCCGACGGACGCGGAGAGACACCTGGCGGCGGGCTGGCGGTCACGCCCCAGGGGCCCCAGTATCCGGGAGGCAGGGCGAGGGCCACACGGGCATGGGCCGGGGCCCCCAGGGCAAGATCCACGACGAAGCGGCCACCCCGGGGTCCTTGTGCGCTGGGCCCCGGCGCTGCCAGAGGGGGTCGGCACGGGGGCATGGTCAGTGGCAAGAGAAAGTCGATCGCCGGGCAATGCGCGCGACGGTCCGCTTCGGGCCACTGCGCATCGTTAAATACACGATGGCATGCCTCATGCAGCAGATTAGCCTGTTTAGCTCAGTTGGTAGAGCATGGGACTCTTAATCCCAGGGTCGTGGGTTCGAGCCCCACAGTGGGCTATCTATGATTCATATTTTGCACCCCCTTCGGGCTTTTACTACTGGTCACTCAGGGGGGGGGGCAGACACCCATCATCCACGCATGTTTGGGCTCCTGCGGGGGGGCGCTCCGAGGCCGGGACAAAAAATGGGAATGGAGGCGCCCCGCAGGCTGGATACTCGCCCGGTGCAAAAGGAGATCCAATTGCGTCGACCGGGAATCGAACCCGGGTCTACCGCGTGGCAGGCGGCAATTCTACCACTAAACCATCGACGCCGATTGATGGAATTCCCCCACTCGCGGCGACATTTTTGCCCTCTCCTTTTGCCGCGAGGCACTTCGGTCCCGGCGCCCGTGGCACTTCGGTCCCGGCGCCCGTGGCACTTCGGT